CTACCAAAGGCAAGCAATAGATAACGGGCATGTCTGTGAGGGTGGCCACAGGAATTCCTAACAGATTATTCCGTTACCAGAAAGTGTATACACAAGAGTTTCTTACTAAGGTACAGCCCCGAGACTCACTTACTGAAGAGGTCTTTCCACAGGCTTTAGTTTTCCAGGAAAGATTTCACCCTCCCTCTTTCCCCAGTGTTATACTTTGATGGTAGAAAACATTATATTGGTATATTGGTAATCATAATACTTCAAAAAAGAGACTAATTTAAGAGTTCTTATGCTGCTCTCGAAATAAAGTTGTAATAATACGTAAGTTAGATTTCACAACACTTGTGTAACAAAGAATCACCCTTCATCAAGTGAATATTAGTTACAGGCCAGGGAAAAAATAGCAATGAACTATGAAGTTCAGCATTTCTTTCTGGCTAAAGTTTTAATGGCTCCCTAGCAGACCTGGATAATGGCAGTCAAATTAAAGGGTTGTATCAGGGCTGAGTCTAAGTAGTTGCATGTGTATTGAAAGTTAAAAAGCATTCTCGACAATGAAAAAACTCTACAAACCAAGTTTGTCACCATTTTATTTGTACTTTACATCTTGGGTAAAGGTAATGGACTAGGCACAACTTCATCTTCTGTGCATAAAAGCTGCACCACGTGTTGCAAACTCTTAGGGAATATGTAGGAATGGTGCAAGACTACTGCCCTGCAGCCATCCAAAACTCCAGTCTGCATGAATGGCACAACCCAAAATGTACTCCCTACATATGAAGCTCTCTACCATCCTAAGGTGTATTACTGAGCTTAGGATCTGACAGGCCAGTGAATCTGAAAGCAACACAGCTCCTTTCAGATGTTGAAAAACAGCAGTCTCAGGGGCAATTCCACGACTAGCACCCACAGAATACATTATATAGAGGTCTTAACATAAGCGATTCCATTTCTGTTTTCTTATGTTTGTACAGGGAGGCACAATGCCGCTGTGGTGCACGCCCAAACAAACCCACACAGGAACACAATTCTTTCACATCTTCAGTTTGGCTGTTATGCTTGGTCTACGTACACCAAGATTTAAAAACTGAAAGCGTCTGTCACCTGACTCCCGACACCTAAAGATCAATGTAAACTTAACAAGAAGTCACTCTGGTTTAGCTTTGCTTACTGTGGGGTAAAAGGAAACGGATACACCACCTGCAGCAGATTCACCGGCATCACAGCTAGCCTCCAGTCTTCAGGTTGACATGATTTTTGTCTGCATGATTTTGTGTCTAAACTTATAGCAAGTCCTCTACTCCTACAGGTTGCAGCACAGCAGAACTGAAGGAGCCTGAAGCAGGCCATGGCTTCACTTCCCACTGTACATCCAAAACACCAGTGAAGGGTAAGTGAGACCTGGGCAGAGAAACAGCCATGCTACTCTAAAACGCAAAGACTTGCCATGAGGCAAGTGAATCCAGTGCGTGTGGTCCATCCGTCTCCTTTTATCCTGCAAGTAAGCAAAGCTAGACTGCAGTTATTTACCTCACTTCACCTGCTTCAATAGTCATCTGGAAAGATGTAGAGGGAAACCATGAAAGCACAAGATCCTTTGTGGCTAGATGCCCAATTCAACAGGCAGAAGGGAATAAGGTCCCTTTCCCTCTCCCCACTAATCTAAACCACACCTCTAGGAATTGTCCCAAATTCTGAATTCATTAGGCTGTATGGAGACAAGCAGGAACACACTT